GAGAGAGAGAGAGAGAGAGAGAGAGAGAGAGAGAGAGAGAGAGAGAGAGAGAGAGAGAGAGAGTGGGAGAAAGAAAGAAAGAAAGAAAGAAAGGAGAAAAGAAAGAGGGAGGGAGAGGGAGAAATAAGTCAGGGAGTAACATAAGAGAGAAAATAAATGAGTACTAAATGTACATGTATAGTATCCACATTGTACACAAAACATGATGGTTACTCACCGATTCCAGTTATAAACAAGAATATAATAAAACCCATTATCCAGCGATTTTTCTTAATGGCGGGTTCAAGAAGCCAACTATAACGATGCATCGATATTAGACATACATAAAAACCAGAGACTAGTAAATACTCCTCACCACTTCGCTGTTGTTCCATCAGCATGATTCGTGTAATCGTCATCATCACTATCTTCTTCTGAAGTCAGTGGTCTCAGTTCCTGGCCGGTCACCGGCTACACGTTAAAGAATAAACAGAGATTATAGAAACAATACAAACTTCCAGTTACCGTATCAGCTTCTGCGATCAGTTGCAATGTGTCTCTTTCCTCGTCTTCAGAGGTGTCCATATTTTTACATTAAGCCACACCTCTTAGGTGTGGCGATTAAATAAAAAGTATCTAGCAAACTAGCAATGGCACTCAGAGGCATAAAAGTAATAGAGATGGCTGGATTAGCTCCAGTTCCCTTTGCTGGGCTGCTGCTAGCAGGTAAGAGCTGCATTTAAACTAAAAACATATTTAAAAAATAATGCTATATTTAAATCTTTGTAGATTTAGAACTAGACCATCTACATGTATCTTAAATTTTGATTTTTAAAAATTAATTTTGACATGTTTTTTATCTTTCTCACCACACTGATGTACATGCAATATATATATATATATATATATATATATATATGTTATGTTATATATTTTAGATCTTGTAAATGATTATTATTTATTTAGATTTTGGTGCTTCTGTTATACGAGTGGACAAACCCAATGAACTAGTGCCAATCAATCTAATGGGACGGTATGAAAACCCCATATGAAAATAATAATGATACATTATGTCACAGAAAGAAACGATCGATTTGTATCGATGTCAAGAACCCAAATGGTGTAGGCGTGGTAAAGAAACTATGCAGGAGTGCCGACATTCTCCTTGACTCTTACCGGTTAGTACAGAGATCATGTGAGAATCATGTGATCAGTTTCCGTAGACCGGGAATTATGGAGAAATTTGGAATGGGTCCAGATATCCTGTGTTCCATTAATCCAAGACTTATATATGCAAGACTGACTGGTTTTGGACAAAAGGGCAAGTTTAGGAGTGTAATAATTATAGTACAGCCTCTTATATCATGATTTCAGCATATTCCTTGACACTGTAGGCCCGTTGTCTTCAAGAGCTGGTCATGATATTAACTATCTTGCTATATCTGGGATTCTATCAGTAAGACAGTCCAATTATATAATGCATAATCTAGTGTATGCATAATTACAATGATACTGTGTCTTCATTTTAAGGCATTAGGCAAAGCAAATGACAACCCATTCCCACCAATCAATCTTGTAGGTATTATCTATTATTACTGATAGGTTCTATCATGATTTATTATGTACAATCATTAGCTTGCTGATTTTGCTGGGGGTAGTCTGATGTGCCTTCTTGGGATATTAATGGCTTTAATGGAGAGAGAGAAATCAGTGAGGACCAGCCCATTGATAAGCTATGCCTGTATGTACTATAATGTATGATGGATCTTGCAGGGATTTGGTCAAGTGGTGGATGCTTCCATGACTCAAGGAGTTGCATATTTGAGCACTTTTCTAACAGACGTGAAACGGATTCATTTGCCAGTGAGAAAAGGTAGAGCAGAGTTTTCTCTGTGAAGTTTATTTTCCCTTTTACCAGAGAAGAGAGGATACGGTATGCTTGATGGAGGTGCACCTTTTTATACCACGTCAGTGAACTTTGTGATAGTCTAACTTTATGAGTACATTCGCATGATTCCTCTCTAGATATGAGACGTCTGATGGTGAATTTATGGCAGTTGGTGCCATTGAGCCACAATTTTATAGGTATTGAGTTATTTGTCGTTATTTTTAATATTGCTGATTTTACAATTTAATTTAATTGAGAATTTAATTTAGTTTTTAAAATAATTATCATTGTCTATGACTATAGTTATTGTTGCCGTTATTTTTAAATAACACTCATTGGTATTAAAGTTATCAGTATGATTAATTGTATGTTTAATTTTTTGTCACCAGAGCACTGTTAGATAAACTTGGGTTGGACAACTCACTTTTAGCAGAGCAAATGGACATGACGAAATGGGTGAGTCAAGTGTCCTTGATTCAAGAGATTAATTGGATAAAACTCGGATACTCCGTGATATTAGGAATCAACAAAGGAAATGATTGCTAGAGTATTTTTAACAAAGACAAGAGAAGACTGGACCAAGATATTCTCAGGTAATTAAGTGGACTATAGGCAATAACAAACTACAATATTATTCATGTACCATATTATTATTATTATAATCTAAGATATTGATGCATGTGTTGAACCTGTTCTATCAATGAAAGAAGCACCACAGCATCCACACAACAGGTATCCATTAATGCTGGATGCATGCTGTTAAGAATTACAATTCAAAATGCCCTGCAATCTTTTTCTAGGCACACAAAGACTTTTTCACTTGATCCAGAAATTCAAGAATTCGTTCCAAGTCTGTAATCTCTTTTATAGGTATTATTATTGTTATTATTGTCTTCCAGACCCTGCTCCTGTGTTGTCCAGAACCCCTGCAAGCATTGGTTCTTTTGACCAACCAGATATTGGGCAAAACACAATGGAAATACTAAATGAGCTCCAGTACACAGAAGAAGTATGCAAATGAGAAAATTAAAATTTGATGCCCCGGCCTCTGCTATTGAAAAAGTTTTGCTAATTTTTTTACTTACATACAGTACATATACTTTCTGAAATTTGAAGTGTCTAATCTATGATAAAATCAAGAGCATATACTGTAGCTTAAGTCTAAAATTCTTTTTAGGAAATTTCTAAATTAATCATAGACGGAGCTGTCAAGCAGAACGAGATTAAATCAAAGATATAGATTCAAGAGTGAATGCATATATTTTTAGAACAGTTTTAGTCAGGCAGGCCCGACTGACTAGGTTATACATGTAAATTTACATGTACATGTATATACTTGCCTGTTAATTGTAATAATTTATTATTTTTATCATGGTTGAATAATCCAGCAAATCAAAGTGTTGCATAGAATTGACCTAATGCTACATCCAATAATATCACACACACAACACAAAATTTTTTTAAGACCTGCAAATTTTGAAGATTTCGAATCCATAAAAATTAAATTTATATAATATATACCGTATGGAATGAAATTTTGGAGCTAGTTAAATTTGGCGTTTTGATAGCCATTCACCAAAATAAAAATCCGCCATTTTGAACCATTATACGCATGCTCAATGGCACATGGCCACAAATTCACCAATCACCAAAATTTAGTCCCTCGAAAATTTCCTTCTGTACGGTACAACCCTCGAAAATTTTGTGCTCTATTGTATCGAGTCAAGTTATTATACAAGTAGATCGACTTGCAGTATTTTAAAATAAAAATGACTATTATCATGATAGATCTATAATTCTCTTATGAGTCTCAGTAGTCTTATATCACGAGGCATCAGAGTGACTCTTTTAGCGTGGTGTGCCAGGAGGTTGCTGTCATTCATTATACTCACCAGGTAAGCTTCTGCTGCTTCTTGAAGACAATCCAGGGCTGCCTTTTGCCATCTCATGTCATGTGAACGATTAAATCCCCGGAGGACTTCGCTACAAAGTCGACAGAAAGGGAGTCGTGGTATGAGCAGAAACACACTCTTTTGGTAGAATCTGATCTCTCTTAATGCAGCGGTTCCTTTTCGCCTTGTAGTTGTGGGTATTGGTGGGCGCTGTTGTGGGGCACGTGAGGTCCCATTCCGTCCCTGAGACTTTCTTGACTGTATGCTCTAAAGTGGGAAAACTAAATTAAAAGGAGCGTCCTAACAGAATACGACTCATGTGTACACATACACTCTTAAACTTTGGCTATTATACCTTTCTTCCTGCTGATTTTCTCACCATCTTAACTCCAGTACTTAACAAGTTTGAGTTTTCTGACCTGTTCTTCCCGCCAAATTGCAAAATTCCAACCGACCACACCCACACTGTAATACCGCGCCGCGCGCAAATTTTGCTAAATCATAAACACTCGTCAATCATTAAAAATTTTTGGCAATCCGCCAAAATTTTACATTTCAGGAATATTGTTAACATTACTGAGACAGTACTCAATAGTCTAGGCATAGTAATTTGGTTCATTATGAATGGATATTTGGATTTAAGTGAGTTCAATCAATCAAAATAGCATTTTGATAGTATTAATCAGACTCATCATCATCAGTCATCTCTGCTTCTTCCTCCTCCTCTTCTTGTTTAATGTCATCACCAGAGGATTCTTCAGAATCGATATATTCTTTACTTTTAAACTGAGTCTTCGATGCTGATGCTGACTTGCTTGTTGTCTTCTTCCTAAATATACAAAAAGGACACCAATCCATTAAGTATAGGGGAACTATTTATCTATCTATCTATAGCATAAAAATACACTTAAGTCTTGACTGAGCTAAGGCTTAATTTCATTTCCTCATTTTGCTATCAATCTATTATAGTGGATAATTCTTGCAGAGTTTAATTTTCATGAATTTCATGTTTGTAAAACACCTCTAACAGGGTCAGGTAGGATCAATCAAAGGCAAAATTATGATCAACCTACAGGGCTATTCCAGAGCTTTGGGAGTTGGAACCCAATAATACTGTCCTAACTCCTAATTATGAACCTGTCCTTATTTCAAAGGTTCATTAATACACATTACAATTGTATTGGGACTGATGCTACCTGTCCTGATTATAGAAGTGTCCTTATTTTAGAGTGTCCACAATAGCAGGTTATACTGTACTGTTACTAATTACCGTACAAGATGATTTATTGGTGAGAGTAATATTTGGCGTATTCGTCTGTGGAAAGTTAATGGTGAATATTATATTGGCGATTGAGTATGCCATATTGAGTGTGCTACAGTTTGAAACAAAATGGCGGATTTTGTATTGGCAATTTCTTTATAGAACCGCCAATCGCCAATATTAATTCCCCACCAATAAATCATGTTGTACAGTACTTGCAATACATAATTATTATCAATATCAGTCACATACGGCTTTGATGATGAAGCTGAAGATGGTGCTTTCCCAGTCCTCTCATATTCTTTCATATCAATTAAATACTGCTCCTTCAATTTCTTTGCCTTCTCTTCCCATTTCTGTTTGGAAACAATCAACAAAAGTCTAAAATGCATATATATACAATGTACATGTACAGCAATCTAACAAATACATGTACATGCATGTATTAAAACATACATGCACAATAATACTTTTTTATATGAATTAACATGTGATATCAGCATGCACAGTTCTCTTACCGATTTATCCTTTAGTTCCTTCCACAATTGTCCAGCTTTCTTACTCATTTCAGTGATGGAGAGCTCAGGGTGCTTCTTCTTTAAACTCGGTCTCATCTCCTGGAGCCATAGCATATAGCTAGAGAGAGGTTTCTTCGGACAGTTAGGGTCCTTCTTCTTTTTCTCTTTCTTGCCTGTAGCTCCTCCTTTCTCCTGAAATATTTTAAAATTAGTGTATCTTGATATTATTAATAATCATCATTACTAAAACCAATTATACTAATTACTATTACTGGCAGTTATAAATTATAATTATTTACATGTAATTTGATCACTCTTTAAAATGAAGTACATGTACATGTGCATATAATGTTGACTTTTTGTCTTGTCTTTGAATTTGAGTACCGTATAGCAGGATATTTTGGAGGGAATCAAATTTGGCAAATTGGTGTTTTGATAGCCATTCGCCAAAAAATCCGCCATTTTGAGCCATTATATGCATGCTCAATGGCACGTGGCCACTAATTCGCCAAATTAAAATCCACCAGTCACCAAAATTAGCAATTTGCTAAATTTAACTTCCTCCAAAATTTCCTGCTACACTGTATACATGTGCATAGTGTACATGTAAATACATTACAATATTATTAATTACTAATGTTATTATTAATTATTATTAATTAATTACAATATCATATCTTACTTGTTTCCTTTTCTTAGCTACGTTAGTGTGAGTTTGAGGCTTCGACCTCTTTTTAGCTTTCGGCTCTTCCTCCTCTTCCTCTTCTTCTTCTTCTCCACTCTCATCACTGCTACCTTTAGTCTCTTTCTGAGCTCCTTGAGTTGAGCCTCCATCACTCACAGCTGCATCTGAATCATACTCTAAATCATCATCACTGCCGCTCTCTTTCGCCACAAAATCCGAGTCTTTGGGAAAGAGGGAGAGAGGAAAAAGGAACATTGGTAAATACCTACATGTATATGTAGTATTAGAGGATTTACCATCTTCACTACTAGCTTGCTCTCCCTCTGCTTTCATTCGAGCAAGGTACGGATCGTGTTCATCGGATGAATTTCCAGAGAGTTCATCATTATAAGATACATGTACTTTACTCTGAAAAAAAGAAGAGAAATAAAAGTGGCATACCGATAATGTAGAGCTGATAGGCTACTGTCAGTGTTTCCCACAAAGCATGCTAAGTGAGCTAAAACAGCATCCTTCATGAGCTGACAAGCACTACAATAGTACAGTACGTTACTTTTTGAGTAACTTTAAAAATTCATAAAAAATCTAATTTTGATCGGAATCAGCTCAAACTTACTACACAACATAAGAACATGTATATGCATCAGAAAAAGTTATAAAAGTGGAGAATTCTCTCCTAGTCATTTTTGACAAAATTTGACCAAAGACCTTGTACTATAGTACAGGGACTTTGGCTCAATTTTTGAGTAACTTTAAAAATTCACAAGAAATCCAATTTTGATTGGAATCAGCTCAAATGTACATGTATTAACATGTACATGTATGTGCATATACATGTACATACATTACATGTTAGAAAAAATCAGAAAAATGGAAAATTCTCTCCCAAGCAATTTTTGAAAAAAAATGGTATTTGTCAAAATGTCTGGAAACCCTGAAGCTATAGTAGTAACTAAGAATAGCCATAAATACATGTACATTTATTCTGATAAATATTTATTCTTACGGAGCCTTTATCTTTAATCTTGAGTCGTTTCTCAGTAACAAACTCATGCAGCCTTGTGTAATCATCTCTAGAATAAAATGGTAAAGGAAGGCACTAATTGGATAAAAAGATGATAAGGTTGTGATGCACATTTACATGCACATGCATTATCATGAACCATTTTCAAGGTTAAAATAATATTTTATTAATTTTGCAGGTTAGAAATAAAAAATGACATAATTTAGAGTAGCTACATACGCCTGTAATTATGAACCGAAAATAATAAATAGCAAAAAATGTAACAATCATGTATTATTAAAATAATACATGTACATGTACTTCACATTACTGGCAGCTAACAATTGGCAAGTTTTAATTTGATGCTTTTTCATAATTATATGCATACAGTAGTCCATGCAGTTACATGTATGAGATGAACATGTACAAACAGTACATGTGCAAACATGTACATGTAATCCTTTATCAACAGTCTCCCAGAAATCAATAATAGTTTCAACACTACATACATGTACATGTATACCAACCTCATCAATGAGCTAAAATGGTGAACGACCCCTTCCCTAGTCTCTATATCGAAATCAAAAGATCTCGATACCCCACCAGAGGCCATCCTAGCAAAGTTGACGTTAGCAATATCTTCAAATTTGATAAAAAGGGCGGGTTTGTGAACGAACATGAATCCCTTTTCAAGAGGGTATAAAAAGCCAGCTGTTGCCTTGCAAGAACAGGCTACAGCATTCTGACCGTTGTTACTGAGAGAGAGAGGGGGGGAGAGGGAGAGAGAGAGAGAGAGAGAGAGAAAGAGGGAGGAAAAGAGGAGAAAATTACGTAAATAATTTTAAAATGAAAGTGTCTATAAGATAAATCGTTACTTTTTAAAACTGCCCGGAACCATTAGCTTCTTTCCAACGAGCACTTTCATCAAACGAGCAAACACTTCCATTAAAGGACCCTCCATCTCCTGAGTCAGTTTCCCCCCATACTTCTCCTTCAAGTCCTCTCTAACATTGATGATCAAAAATTGAAATAAAAATTATAAATTTGCTCTAAAAAAGTTGGCAAAAAAACACGGGCACAGCTAGGGTATTCCTCATCAAAAAAGACTCTTAATTCATTTTAATTCAGACTCTTATTTCCTTGCAGTATAGTTTATAATAATAAAAGTGTGCCTTTGTACTGTTTTTGTGCTAACTGCAGCTAACTGAGGAATGTGGCAAAAAACTTTCGTGCTTTGATGGCTCCCAGTCTATTCCTAATTTTGATTTTCCGAGGACCATCAGTGAAGCTCCAATTGATGCCTTTCATTAACCTGCAAATATTTTGCAATTTTGAATTTCATGGTGTCATTCCAA